CGGACCCTGCAGGCGCTCAGCTCGGAGAAGAAAGCCCGGAAAGCCCGCTTCTACCGCAACGGGGACAGGTACTTCAAGGGCTTGGTGTATGCCATCTCCACCGACCGCTTCCGCTCCTTCGATGCCCTCCTCGCTGAGCTCACCCGGTCCCTGTCGGACAACGTGAACCTACCCCAGGGCGTCCGCACCATTTACACCATCGATGGCAGCAAGAAGCTCACCAGCCTGGACGAGCTGGTGGAAGGTGAGGGGGCTTTAGTGGGCCAGGGGCAAGCAGGGTGCAGGCTGTGGGTGGTTCTGCCCTGGCATGTCGAGGTCCGGCGATGGTGGTATGGGGCCTGATGGTGGGTTGCAGGCTCTCTCTGGGGTGGGCTTTGCTCTGGCTACCCTGATCAAAGCTGAGGGAGGTGGCCGTGGAGCCCCCGAGGGCAAGCAGGCAGGGGTTGCCCACCGCTGTGAGGTGCGGTAGGCCTCATTTTCCCAGTGTGGACTTTCCACTTCTCCCATCACCCAGACGAGTGCTGTCTGCATATGTATGGGTTGACTCTGATGGTAGTTAAGCAGCAGGTACTTTTTTCATCCATAGTAAAGTTCTTGGCTACCTTTCAGTCATCACCATGTGTAAGAGAGGGAAATGCTGTAATTTAGTTCTATAACACTGTCATCGATGCCTCACAGTGGCTTAAGCTTTCAGAGAGAAAGCCCCTGTGCTGTGAAGAGGGATATTTATACTCTACCACTTACTAGAACGAGCTGGAGTAAAGTCCTATTTTCAAATGTGATCAGAGCCTGTCTTCATAGAGGGAATTATCTACCTTGTCTGACTTCCAAAAACATTTTGTAGAATCAAATGCTTTTCAAATTTGTCCCTAAGTAGCTCTTGCTAATGGGACTTAACTGCTAAGGTTATGTAGACCTTGCAAATCAGAGCAGCACTTGACTGTATCTCAAAATGGGTCCAGAAGTACTCTTTTCTGAATGAAACATATGCCTCTTGTTTGTAGGGAATGAGAATTACCACAACAAGGAGCAGAAGTCTCCCATGTTCCCTCATGATGTCTTCAAATACAGTTTAAACTCAGCATTACATGAATCAGCCTTCCAAATACATTGATTATGTTGTGCACACTGTGAGGTTCATAATTAATTTACACTTGATGCTTTTCCTCAGGTATCTAATACATCAACCAGTGCAGTCTTCCACCCAGTTACTCTATATGCCAGGTGTAGCTGATTTGCAGTAATGAAGAAGTAGGATTTGTAGGCCTTCTAATGCCTCCTCCCTTTTAGGCCTTCAGCTGTGTATCCTTTAAGCTTTATTTGGAAAATTCCCTTTTCAAAGCAATGCTGAATCACACCTGGAGAATTTGATGAGTAAGAGAACCTGAAGATCTTTATATAATCTACTAGTAAAGGCACTGGGAGTTAGGGACCAGCCTGTCCAGAACATGCAAGAGGAAGAGAGAGGCTACAGCGTTTGCTGCATCCAGGGGGGTCTCACTCAAAAAACATACCCATGAAAGTGCACTTTCAAATAGTAACATAGTGTCTGAGGACTTTCCCCATCATGTGATCTACCGTAATGCTGTGCCCCAGTCAAAACAGAGGAAATATGACATGATTGTAGAGTGAAATGCTGACTCTGTGGCAAAATAAATGTGAAATCAATGAAAAACTTTTCCATTATTTGGTGATTAATTTGGAGATAGCTAGGAAAAAAAAAAAAGATGTTGGAGTGGGGATGGTGGGGAAGGAGATGAAGCAAAAAATTGGATAAACTAATGATAACTTGGGGTCAGTTTTGAAATGTTGCACAAGGAATGATCTTAAAGGTTTATGGCTTAAAACAAAGACAAGGACTTGCTGGACAATAGTATAAAAGCAGTGTATACTCTCACAACTCTATTTAAGTGAATAACTGAAAGCAAAAACTTACTTCCTATCTCTTCAAATACTCATGGAAGGAGTGACCTTTGTCATTGCTCTTCACTGGAAGAATAAAGCAAAACAAATGTCACAACTGAAATGCCACTTTCATGCTTTCTCAGTAAAATAGAAGGGGAGAAAAAAAGAGTCCCAATTACTTAGTCATCTATCCATGACCGTTACAACTCTCGGGAATCTTAAGAAAATCCTGTAGCATCATAATTGGATTAGTATATTCTCCAGTTATCATGCCAAAAACTTTACCAGCGTAAGTCTAATCACCATGCAGTGAAAGGAAAGCATATGCAGGGGCGGGAAGAAAACAAAGTACTGGATCCATCATTCCTTGAAATTATCTGAGCTCCTTGCCAGACCTTTTGTTCTTGACATGCTGGAATAGGATCTGCTTTGTTGTTATTTTCTTTATTTCTTGTAGTTCCAGCACAGCAAGCTTGAATTTCTGCTCTAGAATAAGTGCTTGAACACTGGTAATATTGTAAAGCTTCAACTGCGGTAGCACCAGAAGTAGTTTTGAATGGTGTTTTGCTGTATTGCTTTTTAATTTTCAGGAAGGAAAATAAAATTAAAGTGCTGCTGTGCATGCCAGCTGCAGGCTGAACACCAGACCAAACATGGCTACTCGATGCAATACCTAATTGATTAGTCTAGTTGCACATCCTCAGCGTTGTTGAACTGGTACGTGGAATCACAGCAGTTCAGGTTCAGTAGTGGCAACTCTATGAAGTAAGCGGAAGGTGAGTGCTCAGCCACCCTTGCCAAGCCGGCAAGATCTGCATTAAACCTCCCTCAGCTCAAGCCTGTGTGTGTAGCTCTTGGACATCGATGTGCCCCAGTGCAGGCAAGCTCTTTAAGGCCTATTTGCTGTTTATCAGGTTAATATCTGTCTGGGGTATAAAAGCTGGCAGTATCAAATTCTGTATCATAATAGTCCAAACTAGCTGAATTGAGTCACTGATGAAAGCTTTTTGGGGTTTGGCTGTATTTGGCAATCTGTTTTACTGTTTATCATTTTAAGAAGAAAATAGCTAATGCACAGAGATGCTGTAGGTTTTGAATATTACTGTTGCAGATTAAGTCAGTTAAAAATTTGACCAGATCATGTTTATTAGTCAAAAACTGACAAGCTCCATTTTAAGCATATTGCTTTTCTTAACTGGCTGTGACAGTCAAAAAAACATGCTGTGCTGGACCAGCCTTAGGCAAATACCGTTTATATTCCCAGCCCCTGTAGATTAGGAAACATTACGGCTCATGAGTTTGACAGTTTTCATTGCTTGCTTAGAATGAGAGGAGTGAAGAGTTTCATTGTCTGCTCCTGATCTTATTTGAGCAGACAGATCCAGAGAGGGGATGGGGGTTGGGAATATTATGACTTTCTTATTGCTTGCTTTCTTTCAATTTTACTGTCAGACATTACACTACTTTTTACTTTTGAATAGGAGATTCCAAGTGTAATTTTATATTTTCCCTTCAATAGCAATAATGGAAGAATAGTTTCATTTTTATTCTCTACCAAAGTTAACTGTTTGTTTAAATCCTCCAGTTTTCTTTAAAAATGTAAGCTTCCTAAAGCATGACACAAGGATAATAGTAAGAACTGTGCAGCTCTTTAGTACTGAGGTTTGTGTTTTACGTTGGTGTCGATCACGCTCTGTCTCGCTATCCTGTGCTTTCATTGTCTTGGTAGTGAAAGAGATGGAGAATCCTGATTGTTAAGGTCTGCTGTGAAGTTAGGAGATACTGTTGGATTTGGAGAGAGGAAACCAAATGTAGACTCTGTTCCTGGCGAGAAAAGTTACGTTGATTTGGCATGCGATAGGGAATTTTTCTAATTCCCTAGGTGGGAAGCATTGCTAACAGTCTTTGTTCTTTCAGCTACAATGCTGAAGTAATCAGTCCTTTATAAAATGTCAGTAGTTTTGTCTGCATGGTTGTGCAGACAATCAACAGGCACCTGTAGGGAAGGTTCTGAGCAGGGCAGTCCTTATGCATGGCTGGGACATGTAGCACAGGGCAGTATCTGCTTTAAAGAAATGGGCTCTGCCACACTAACACGGAGTAAAAGAATGTTTTTGAAATGAGGTATTGAACAATCCAAGTATTTTCTGCATTAGATCATTGTTGTTGTTACTGCATAATACATTTTAATCTTCCTTAAGTACCTGTGATTCTAGTCAATGCACACTGTTATATTAGGTCAAGAATATCTTTTCTCTTGTCGGGGCAAGCAGATGGTAACACCAAGTAGGCAGTTTGTATCTTTGCTTCTTCCAAAAGGTATGATTACCTTCCTGTGCTAAAGCCAAGCGCTGTAATGCTTTAAAAAGAGGCAAATATAGCTTTAAAAAGAGGCAAATGTAGCAAGTTTAACAAAGAATGGTAAAAAGGAAGGATTAAAAAGCATTAAAAGCATATGTTTAAATCACTGTAGTTACATAGTCCTGGAGCAATGGGGCGTGGATGTGAAATATGGATGTAATTGCTAGTTAACTTCCCATCCAAACAAAATAAAATAGCTCCACCGCAGTGCATCTCCTAGTTTCAGGGACAGGAGAAATGTAATTTACCTGAAAAGAGTTATTTACTTACTGTGGAGGATGCACGTGGTATTAGGTGGGTTTGATACCAGATGACCTTAAGTGTCTTCTGAAAGTTTTTACCCTGCCTGGGCAGGAGGTTGGACCAGATGACCTCCAGAGGTCCTTTCCAACCTCAATTGTTCTGTGATTCTGTGAAAGCTTGTAGGAAGCTGTCATCTGGACCTTGTGCATAAATAAAGTCAAAAGAGAATTAGGAGCAATTAGTCATCTGCTAAAATCCTGGTTGTCATCCCAAGTTCTAAGAAGTACATGGGGAATTTAAATGCTGTAGATGAGGAAAGATCGTGATTTACACAGGGTTATTGGAGGTGATGCGAAAGTGAAGGAGTCATAAGAAACTGATGAGGAAGGAAGTTCTGTGAAAGAAAGGAAGGAGAGATCTAAATAACCTAATCATTCATAAAAGGGGTGGTTTTATTTTTGGCTCAGTCCTTTCATACATGCTGTAAATATACTGTTCCGGAAATCTGCTTGGCTTTGTGTTACAGAACACAAAAGGGATTCTCTCCTGTGATTCCTGAAGTTAGACGGTTAGTAGCCCTAATAACTACTGTGCTATGCTGAATCAGCAGGTTTTGGCACCCTTGAAACTAATGAGTTCCGCCAAAAGAAGCTGAGGAACGTGAGATGGATAGATGAAATGTACCTAGAAACCTGCCCTGTCCTGTGTGCTTCATAGGGGAACACGTGCTTAAAA